GGTGCCCGTATTATCCTATTGTAGGAATTAGTAAGTCTAATTAATTCTACCGGTAATGAACAGATCTTTTGAGTGCGCCCGGATTGTGATAAATGCTGAGGTTGCATTCAAGATGAGGGAATTTATTGTTTTTTTCTCATCTGAATGAGTGCTTGATGAGTTTTGCATTTAAATTTTTTTGAGGTTTACTTGGGTGCATAATTTATTATTTAAATAGTAAGGTATTCCTTTGGTAACGTTTGCTAACCAGGCACGGTGTATAATTTTCATAATGGTCGTAAACCTTGGAATTTTAAAAATTTTTGAGGGTGCACTTTAGCGGTATTTTGTATTTAAGAAGCTTTTTGGAGGAAACATGAAAGGTTATTTTTGATGTATTTGTCGAGCGATTGTTGAGCCTTGAAGCGTATAAGTGTTTTAAGATTTCTTAAAGAAGTGTCAAGAATTGATTCATCTACACCTTAATTGTGAAGTAAGTTTTAATACATTTGATACGACAGTTATTCGAGTAGTATATTTTTTTCTGTGAAAGTTTTCGTTTTTTTTGGTGTTTCAAAGTTCTCTCTTTTTCTATGGTTGTAATAACTGGTGCTGTATCTTACTAGGTTTGAGATCCTCGAGGAACTTTAAAAATTTTCTCGTATATTTTAATGATACTGTGTAATTGTAGGTAGACAGATTTATTACCGATTACCCAGTTCGCTGTGTTAACTGGTTTCATGACGGTAGGCAGTTTATATGTGGTAATTCTGACGGCTCTTTGACTATTTGGAACGTTAAGAAGCCTGGTGAATATGTACAAAAAATGTCTCCTCACGGCGATAAGTGTAGACCTATTACGCAGGTTTTGAAATCTATTTCTAAGGGATGTGTACTGAGCGTATCCTACGTTTCCTTTTTCTTGACTTTCAGGTTGATTGGAGTGTTACTGTGGAGGGTGAACAATTGATCATGTTTAGTGGAGGTTAGTGGATTTTTTGAGAGTTTTCATTATGAAAAAGATTTTACTGCTGTTCTATAGTATTGTATTCTGAAAATTTTTAATACTTGGGTGTGGCAGTGAATTTTAGGTATGTCACAAGAAGATGGGGTTTTACCAGCAATTACAATTTTGCGAGCTAATCGATCAGCAACAGTTTTTGAAATGGAGCATTCGTTAATATCGTTTATTCCGTTAACTCCTCCAAGTTATCCGAGTGGACCTCAGCACCACTTTGGACTCGCAGTTCTCTTGAAAAACAATCTTCTTGTTATCGATTTACAAAGTCCTGGGTAAAAGTAGTTGTTTTTTATGTCTATGGCAGGGGATTGAAGAGATTAATATTCTGGTATTCTTCTTTATTTATTTTTTAAGTGGCTGTACTCAAAATTTGTTTTCGAGTTAAGTAGCGAAATACCAAAATTTTTATTTCCTGTTCAGAAAGTCATTCACCGACACGTTATAAGGGAAGGGTTCCACACAACGCGTAACAGCTGAGGTCTGTGATTAGCTGCGTATCGTTGGTAGATTGAAAATTTAATTCCCTTTCTTACGGTAGTAGTCACTTTGCAGTCTTTTAAGGTTTATGCCGAGTTTTAAGGGAAGCCGGTAAGTTTGACGTGATAGTAAAGTTCTTTGCTTTTATATCGAGGGTCATCAGGGAAGCTTTTAAGTTACAGTGCAATATTTGCAGTTACATTTAACTGCTAAGGAAATATAGTTTTTGAAATAAAACGGGTTATTCCAAGGATAAAGTGTTCAAAATGAGAGAAGAATCAAAGGAAATAGAAGTTTAAATGAGGCAGGGGACGTTTTTAAAATTTTTAAGAATTTCTTCCTTTGTTTGGGATTTTGTTAAGGATTGATTAGCTTTTAGCTGTTTTTTTAGTACGTGTCCTTTTAGCACATTCAGTTACTCCCTGAATAAAGTGAAACGTTTCATGTGTGCAAATAATAAGACTTTGAAAATAATCTTTAGCAGACTGGCTGCTTTTAAGGTTTTTTTCGTCAGAATTAGTGATGAAAAAAATTTTTTATTTTTGGCGATTTATAAACGATCTTTTCCACCCTAGGGGCCTTAATTGTTTAAAAACCAAGTACGATTGTGGATTTTCTACACTAATGTAGAGACCCAATTCTTGGCTTCTGGTCAAAAAACAAAAAAGACTTCATCAAGTATTAATATTGAAATGGAACTGATTATAAAGAGAGGGAGGTCGGTTGATCAGTCAGTCACATATGTGATTTGCTTCACGTCGTGTGTGGGCCCTTTTCTTCACAAAAGCACTGAATTCTTTAAATTTTATTTTGTTTAGTTGGAACCTGAGGAGGTTATTTTGCTATTTGGTCATTTCTTATTTAGAAAATCAAATTAACTAACTATACAAACTGCTTTAGCTTTGGAAGTTCTTTTAATAGCTATTCTGAGTTCGCTGTTTTAGGTACCCATGCTTTGAAAACGTTAATCCGGTAGATATCCATGAATCGCCCGTTGTGTTTGTAAAATATTTTTCTGATTGTCCTGTTGATTTGGTTGGGGCATTGACTCTCGTAGGCTGTAAACAAAGGCGACAGGCGTATAGCAGGAAGGTAATACGTAACAGGGAAGGTTTAGAGGCTCAGGAACTTTCGAAATGGATCTTAACTGGGATGTTTATTTTCAGCCTTGGCCAGTAAATGGTGGTACTGGGCGTGAGTGCGCAACAGGTCATCAAGAGCTTTTGATTACAGGGTTTGAGTTTTATTCGCCTTCGTTTTACCTGTTATTCTTCGTCACTTGGAGGGCTCATGATTTTATAGGACAAGTAGTCTCAAGCAATTTTACTTGTTGCTAATTATTCTGTTTTTTCCTGACATTGATGGGGTCTTGGTTGTCGTGTTGCCTATTTATATGTTTTCATCTTATGGTGGTTTGTAGGCATGAAGACGGTTCCTTAAAATTTTGGCACACTACTGGCGAGCATCTTCAAATTCTGTATAAACTTAAAACGGGTCGTCATTTTGAGCGCTCTGAAAATTATGACGGAAGAGATGTGTCGCATGGGATTGCGGATTTGGTGCTTTGTTTGGAATCAAGGCTTCTTGTAGTATGCAGCCAAAGCAGCCAGATAACCCTATTTCATTTTGCTAAGAATGAAGGGTGCAACGAAATTTCAGTGCGTTCTTCACTAAAAGTTATTGTTCCGTTTAAACTTGAGAAGTTTTTCACTTAATGATGTTTGCTTTTCATTTCTGGCTGTTAATTGCAAAATTTAGTTGCTTGTCTTTCAGGTGGTCATTATTCCCAGGTTTAGTTCCTTAAATTTTGGTGCAGACGATGAGGGTGTTTCTGGTGGAGGTTCTGGCAAAGACACGAGGCATCCAAGTTTAGCGTCACAGGAGTCGCATAGTACTGCTACGAGTGAAGGTAGTGTCACCGACGATCATTTTCCATTAAAAGTTAGAGGGGGAAGTATGAAGAGACCTGCCGGCTACCAGGTTGGTTGTATGTTTGTCTTACTTGCTTTTTAACAGTTGAAATAGAGGTTTTTTTGAACAAAATATTTTACCAGTGTCAGTTTTATTTCTGATTGAAACTGTTATATTATTTCATGAAACTATTCTGAGGTTTATTTCTTACTTGATGATAAGTGCTTTCGGCTATATGCGTTTCTAGACAAAATAATAAATAGTGAGTTCAGCGTTTAATGGGCAACTTTTAGCCGGAAATGGTTTGCGTTGTCCCTTGGAGAAGCTGTTTGCAACCGGAAACCATTACGGCGCTTGCACTTAATTCTGCATATGGATTTTTAGCTTTTGGTAAGCCTTTTAAATACTTCTCGCTACATCCATTATTTCTTCTTTTTTAGGCACTAGCAGTGGATTAGTGGTTGTTGACACCGTGCAATACGTGTTGGTATATACTTTGCCATATTCAGATTTCTGTGGTAAAGAAAGTCCGTTGTCGATGTCTCAAGGATTTGATCACTCTCCAAACGAGGTTCATCAAATTGCTTTTTTAGTTACATCACGTTAAATCTTTACCTTGTGAAAAATGCGATTTTTTTGAGTTTGTAATGAAGGTCAATGAATAAAAAGGATGTTTCGGATAGAGGAATTCTATAAAGTTTGACTTCATTGGAAATATTGAATAACATATCTTCAAAGAAGTTGACTGGCGACTTTTTTACTGAACGAGATTTATATTTCCTACGCCCTTTCTGTTATTCAAACCCTTATTTTTTTATTGGTGATTCTATAAATAATTTTTTTGCTGGATTAATTCGAATCTTGTACGGGATTTCTCTTGTTTGTTTTCAATTTAAAATTTGTGATTATTTTATGCATTTTAAATGTGGACTTTAGTTGAGCACCCCTGAACAGCGTTCGTCTCCATCACCCAACAGTGTTAAATCTTTTTCTAAAGCTGTAAGTGAAATACGACAGAAGTCTAACGAAAAGCAACGACCTGTTTTAAGCAAAACGTATTCTGTTGTTGACCAAGCGTGTAAGTTAACGGCCTTTGAGTTGAAATGTTCAAGATATTCTTTGTATGGATGGGAGTTTGTTGTCTCAAATGAATTTTCAGCGCCTACTCATTATAATCGCACTCGAAAAAAAAAGAGAGCTGAATGATTGGAAGCAGAAGAAGGTCATTTAGATTTTCTGAAGCCCAAACGTTTCGTGCTTTTCTCTAACACTTGCAACAGTTACAAAGAATCTTTTTTTTGTGTCTGCTTAGTTTTGTTACAAAAATTGATTGAAAGACGGCAAGTGGTTGGATAAACAGTTTCAACGAATTTTTCGCACTTCTTTGCCATTTTCTCCTTCCCGTTATTCTTATCACTTTCTTCCCTGTTCTTTTTGTATTATTTATTTTTTTGAGACATGGTTTATCAGCAATATGATCTTTTTAAATAAATTTTCCGCTTCCTTGAAAACCTTTGCTCCTGGAGATAAATCTGGGTTCACGTAATATCATTTTTAAATTTCAGTTGTCTTGAGGTCAAACAGTTTTTCACGATGAAAGTTGTTTTTTTTTTTTTTTTTTTTTTTTTTTTTTTTT